TTGCTGCTTAAAACAAATTGTGCCTAAATTCCGAATATTAAGTTATTTATTCCAACTTGTTTATGCTTGTATCCGAAATTAATTTTTCTGTGTTATTGATTATTTTTGAATAGCTGGGAGTTTGCTAGGCTATAGATTATTCCTCTGCTGTTGTTTCTCTATTAATGGCAGTTAATAAAGTTACACCATCCTCAACATGCAATTAGCCTCAGACTCTACTGGCAAACTTTTCTTAGATAATACAGTCAGGATCTAATTTCATGTTTTTAACAACATTGGTTAAATAAAATATATTTTCCTTTGTATTAGAATTATAGAGGTGCACCGGCATGTAATTAACTAAACATCTTTCTGTTGTGTTTTGGAAGCAAAAGTCAGACAGACAGTTGGCTATTTTATGAGCTTTTTAACTCCTAGACATAAATTTAGGATGAGTACTTATGTGTAATTTGCACAGCCTATGTGTGACAGAACAAAAAAAGCCAAAACACATTTAACAGAAAAATTGCATCGGTCGATAATGGCCAGTTGCCTCTTTTACATTCCATTACCAAGAGGGTGAGCTATGGCCCATTTCATCACAGAGAGATAAACAAACAATGGCGGAGTCAGAGAAGACCCATATCCCAGGTAAATGAGAGCTTTATGAAAAAGATTAGTGAAAATCCCCCTTAGAAAGCAAGGGGACATGTAGGGTGAGAGGCTTTCGGATAGAGGCATGGCTACCTCATTCCCATGAATTCCTTTAGTAATCGATCAAAACATAAAATAACAGCAGCAGTCATAGAGGGAAAGGATAAGCAGAGACTGACCAACAGACTCCCTAGTGAGCTATTTCAATAACCAAAGGTTGGTCTTACCCGATGAAAACTATTCCTTTTAAACCCTAGGAAAGGATGTTCCAAATTGTGTTTCGAAAGAGACAGTGACATACTGTACACAAAAAAAAAAAAAAAAACTAACTTACAAAAAAAAAACAGTAGAGCAGGTACACTAAAGCTTTGTGAAATACTTTATTGACTTTATAAATAATATCTTGGTGCCGTCTGCACTGAGTTATCATTGAGCTCAGATAATCTTCTCTACAAATATCTGCAATAAGAAATGGGTGGAAAAATAACAAACAACTACTCTATTTAAGTGACAATCATTTTTCTAAATGGAACATGAGTGACGCACCATGAGAAAATTAAAAACAAGTTGGCAGAATGAAATTGGCATAATCGAATTCTAAGAGTGATTTTCATTTTATTGTAAAAATACTGTTTCAAAAGTTTTTTGTTTAAACCCCACTTTTTGTTTTTGACATGAGATGTCACATAACCACATCTCCATATCTGGAGGAGGCAAACCTGCAGTTCTTTTATATGGCTGCTTTGTTTGGAAAAAAGCAGGCTTTTGAAGTGTGTGTCAACAAATAAAATGTGCCATTTGAAGCTAGCACATGGCTACCTACTAATAAAGATAGGATGTGGTAAAAATGCAGTTTTATTTGCGCTCATGGGCACTCTCCAGAGGGAACCTGAACCTGAGCAGTTTGGGGAGAAAGAGAGGCTATAGGTAGAATGGTTATTTCAAATGGTTTCAATTGGACCTGTTGGCAACAGTACGTAGTATAATCACTTCTAAACTTTACCCTTTTAGAGTAACTGGGTTTTTTTCGTGTGTGCACTGGATACCCGGACATCCGCATGCCTGCCCGACCACCCTCTCCACAATTTACAGCTTTAAACCGATCTTGAGATAAAAATGCTGGTAAAAGAAAGAATTGCCTTGACATGAAGTCTCTGTACATTGATGTGACTACATTTTTCGGATGATATTAGTGGTGGTGATGTGTTCCTGGTACTAAAAGGACTAAAACAAACTGGAGCAGAGTTGAATGATAACAGTAGAGCTCTGAGCAGTCCTCCACTACACAAGAAAACAAAGGTTGCAATCTACATACAAGAATTAGCACAAAAGGGGACCCTGCAAAAACATCTTTGACATATTTTCTGCTAAAACATAAAGTCAAGGACAGTGCTACTTATGCAACATTGTGGAGTGTACCACAGAACTAGAACTAATCTTAAAAGTAACATTAAAATAAAGCTGTTACAATGAAGCTTTTAGAATAAAGCCCTGTAAATATTACAATTGATGGGTATAGAAGAAGCGGCTGTGCTGTTTTGCTGCTGCCATCGACACCTTTGTTTATAGATATTCGAGCTCGGCCTGTTTTCCAGTGTAGTCCTGTTACTCTGACTGTGACTGGCTGGATGTGTCTGCCTGGCTGTGTGTTTCCGAGACGCCTGGAGATGGTTGACAGTTGCCTTTTTGTATGTCTGCTTCTTTCCGTATGTCTGCTTCTGTCTCCATGATCCTCTGTCGGCCTTGGCAGATGGCCGCTCACACTGAGCCTGGTTCTGCTAGAGGTTTCTTTCTGTTAAAAGGGAGTTTTTCCTCTCTACTGTTGCTACAAGCATGCTTGCTATCAGGGATTGCCTTTGAGTCAATGTGGCGATGCAATCAACTGGTTTCCTTAGACAGAAGACTGTATGATCTGGTTGATTTATCTCTAGAAAGTGCCTTGAGAGGAGGTGTTGTGAATTGGCGCTATAAACATAAACTGAATTGAACTGACTGCATTTCAAGTCTCTTATAGATTAATAATTATCAAAAATGATTAATAAATATTGCTCTTCCTCTAAGTCCAGTCAATATGGAACTTGTAGACACCAAATACAGATATAAAAAACATAAACATTTGACATGTAACAGTTTGATAAATGTCAAGTTTTTAAATTTTTAGCTTAATTATTGTTGAGTAACTATCAAAACTGGTGTTGTAATTTTTTAACACCTCTAAACGATGTTGGTCTATGCACCGGAAAAATGTAGCAGAAATATTATATGTATTACTGTAAAACATCTTTACATAGAAAAAATTGTGCATTTTTCTGCTGAGAAGCACTGCTAAGGGAAATACTGGAGCAAGTTATGCAAAAGTATTCAAATTAACAACTTTTGTTAGGACCCAACAGACTTCTATGGTGATTCTAAAGAATGTTCAAAGCTATTTTACTCATTAATGCTTTATGTAGAATGACAACATTCCCTTTCATAAGCCTTTCAGGATCAGTAAAGCATTCAAAATGGCCCTGGCTAGACTTGTTCCTTAGTTTGCCACAGTCTGTCACATATAAGTATGTCCTCCTTGAGCAGAATACCTAATTCTTTATCCCATCCATGCTATGCACACCTACTTGTCTCTGAAATTATGATGTCAAATACTTCAACTACAACATCAAAGAGAAAAGGGTGAAGGAAAAATAAGAGCCAAAAACATGAGGCAAAGAAAAGCAATACATCCGAAAAATAGGTGCAGGTGATGGAAAGCCTTGAAATAAAAATGAAGGAAAAAAAAAAAAAGAAAGGCAGAGCTTGAACCCACTCAAGTGCTGTATGTCTTAAGTATTTGGTGCTGCTTCCTGTACTAAGGTAGCTCAGGTACACCACAGTAAGTATAATCTGCAGAGGGAGCAGGCAAATCATTACCGGATTGTTGAAATATTTCAAAGATCCAAACACCACCTGTATGTCCCCTGATGCAAATATGTAATTATTTCCCCTTGTAAGTGAATATAACACAATCAGAACTCTTTTTTTTTTTTTAGCATCAAACAAGTGTATCCAAATAAGCATCTTTTACCCAGGCTGAAACAAGAGTAATCACCTATAAGGCAGTAAAATCCTTCATGCTGTAGAATCACTGGTAATAACAGAATCAAAAATAATATAAATCATTTAAGGTAAACAATTTCAAAAGTGCTCACCATAAGTGAGTGCAGAAATGTCTACTATAAATCCATAAACTGTGAATAAGAGGCAGAAATAAGTTTGAATTCTGAGAAGGTAGCAACATACCATTGGGGCTCTCCTCATCAATGGTCACTATGGTTGCGGGGGGTCCAGGTCGCGACAATTTACACTCTAAATATAAAAAGTGGGGGGAAAAAAGTCAGAAGACACAAAAAAGCTCAATTTATATATAAAATATTCTTGTAAAACATAGATTGAAATATGTTGCTTGATAGCAGCACCCTGCACATTTATTTGAAACCCTGAAAATGTGTAAGATGCCTTAAAATATTTTTCATTGCAAAGCTTTCAATGGCAAATTGATTATATTGTTTTTTTTGCTTTAAAAATAAAAAAATAAAACTAATTAAGTAGCTAAAGTATTTTATTTATACATATTTTTAAGTTAATCACTGTTTTGTAATTTGATTAATCAATTAAACTTCTTTACAGGGGCCAAAACAGACACAGGTTCTCATTTCACATAGGTGCTTTTAAAAATTGTCAAGGAAATATGTTGAAAAAATACTGTTCATTTTTTTAGATCCATAAGACAGAAAATGTATTCAATAAAATAGCTGCTTGCCAAAACATTTCATTCCACCACTCAGAACAGCAAATAAAATGTTGAAAACAACTGCACTGTGACAAACAAGGCTAGGAGATTACCAAAATATATCTTGCAACAGCACACAGTATGGGGGATAATATGGGAAAAGTGTATCAAACAGTAACACCTTGTGATCACCAAGCTGTTAATTAAGCATTTATTCTAAAAACGTTTTCAAAGTATTACCACGGGGCATGTGATTGTGAAGGTGTTGTATGCACATGATAGTATGATATACAGTATATAGAGAGTACATTATGTGCATATATTTGTATATTTAAAATTATGATACTTTATCATAAATATATTTAGGGTCTATTTATAAAGAAAATTGCTCAAAAACCATTATTTTTTGTTTAACATTTTAAAAAGGATTTTCAAAATCAACATTTGTCTTACAAAGCAAGTCATCAAATACAATAAGTGGTTCTCCCCTTTGGACTTCTTTTGAGTTTTTAGTTTTTTAAGTCATTCTGTTTTCCTGGTCATTGGTTTCTTTTCCATTTTGTTTCATTGTAGTGGTTTTCTAGTTATTTTTAATCAGTGTTGTGTTTTTGTGTTGCTCTCTGTTGCCCCCATGTGCCAGTCTCCTTTCACCTCGTTTCTAGTTGCTTCGATCCACACCTGCTCCCTCTTAGCTGATTAGTTTTTGTTGTGTCTCCCATATAAACACATCCTGTCTAGTTCCTAAGTGCTGGTTTCTTCTTCTTACTTTGCTCTTCATGTTTGGTTTCCCCTGATGTCTCCTGGTTTTTGGTTTTCTGTATTTTTCTTCTGTTGCTTTTGCATCTTCATTATATCAGCAAAGACTCATCTCTACCTCCTTCTACTTAGCGTTTGGGTCCAAAACCACATCCACCACCTTTTTGACAATAAGAGCTGTAATAATTACCTACAGTTTAAAAACCTCAGTAGTATATTTAGCAGAAAGTATACTGTGATTCATTGTAAAAAATGTCCCAATGCTTTGCATCCATGTTTCAAGACTCATGACCCTATTGTGAACAGCTTGCATACCTTTACTTTTTTTTCATGTGCGCTGTTTTGTTGATCACACCTTAATTTTCTGCAAAGAACCTCATCCTTTTCAACTCTAACAAAGCTATTAACAGTGAAAGCAACGAAGAGGCTGCAGGGACTCCTTATCTGTGTTCTCTGACCTGCTCTGCCTACTTTATTATATACTGGTGGCTAATTTACTCAAAAGGTAGAAGCTCTGATAACTGCAGCATAAAAACAATTAAATATTGATAATCTAAAAAAAGAACTTGCTTACATATTTTTGACTGCAGGTCCTCCCAATATGTATTCTATGAACCAGATTATTAAAGATAAGTATCAAAACAAAGTTCTGGCTGTAAGCACTATAAACAAGGCATGTGTCAAGTGAAAAAGGGATACAGTATCTTTAAAATCAAAGTATAAAGCTCTGAGCACTTTATTTGACATGTTGTCAGAACACTAAAGTAGCTTTTTAGACCTCACAAACCCTTTTGTAGATGGCACATATCCTACCTCTCTCCTTCCCCCGTTAATGACCTAAAGGCTACACCAACGTACTGTAGCATCTACAGACCTTCTGCGTTACTTTAATGCATTGTCTACTGTGTATATAGTATATTGCTATGTACTATATACTGTATGTTATATAGTGTACATAACTATAGATTCTATATTCTGTATATATATATATATATATATATTGTCTGCACCATCAACACATCAAGTCAAATTCCTTGGAACTGCAAACCTCCTTGGCAATAAACTTGATTCTGATAACGGCTGTCTCAAAAATACTCCAGTCCAAATACAAAATCTATTGGAATGGAAACCTATCCTGAACAACAGCAATGTTAAATGAAGTACTCTCGAATTGTATTGTTTTATTTTTTCTTTTTACTTTTACTGGACTGTAAGGTTACTTGGTATTCAATTATATTAATGGCATGAATTTTATTCAATTGATACTAGAAGTTGCCTGTGACCTGGTATTTGTCTTTTAGGCTTGGAATATGACAAACATCCCCTAATCTCTTAAGCCGATTTTTTTCAATTGTTTACTTTTAATATAAGTTTAGTTTTTTTATTTTCCTGAAAATTCTGCTAATGGTAATCAACATATCTTGTACAAAGATAGAGATATTTCTAACACATGTAGAGAAAATCACCCCGAGATATTGGGGTACAATAATTAGACTATTTTAAAACCTGGAATCATTTTCTGTTGATTATTACATGTTACTGACGGACAGTGAAAACTATTTAATAGATGTTTATAAATATAGTTCTCTATATCACTAGATAAGAAGCTTTTATAACTCTTACTAATATGGGCCCTTTATTACTTAAGAAATTATGATTAAACCACTACTATTATAGTAAGTAAAACTGCACTGAATTGTAATTTGGGTATTAAGGAAGAGATTAAATAAATATTAGTTTGCTCATTTATATATAAACATGATTACTTTTTCAACCAGTCCAATTAAAGTGATATTATTAAAACAGTTTGAAGTTTTGTAGAAGTCTTTTTTAACTGCCAACATTTCTATAAGGCGAACATCATTCACATTGCACAGCTAGATGAGTAGTTAGAGCATCTCCCTGTCTGGCAGATGAACCTTTTTCGAGCAATAGCAATAGAACTGGTAATTGCTGCAACAGCATTATCATCAAGAGACACTAATGGTACAATTGTGACAGTAGATGATGAAAAGCAAAAGACAACATTGTGAAAAGAGCAAAGGGAAGAAAGGCGTCACATGTGAAGGTCACAACAGCTAGATGATGTGAGCACATGGCACACAGGTAATGGCAACTTGACTAACAGCACCATATGGGACAATGAAGGATGTTGGGTGCATGAGACAGGATAAAGGAACTGTCATTCTACAGGCACTGCAAGGCAACTCTGCTGATGTAAGGAATGCTTGGGATAAAATGTATTTCAGCAGGGAGTGAAACAACAAAAAAATATACTGAAGTTAATAAAACAAAGGGGGAAAAAATACAACATAAGCTTGCCCTCTTACCCTCATATTGCCAGTCTGAAGGAGTCAGAGCATAATTTAGCCAAAAGGAAGGAGAGCAGGAAGAAAAAAAAAAAACAGTAAACAGATATCAAACATTTGGGGAAAAAGTACTTGCAAGAATTCAGAGCTATTAAGGAAAAGAGAAGACATGTTATATGAGGAGAAAATGTTAAACAGGGATAGAAATTTTAGGGTGAAAATCTCAAACAAGCCTTTAGGGATGTAGTAGTTGAGCTACTGCCACAATGTTTCTTACCTCAATAGTATTGTCAGTTCTATGAATGATGTGGTTCCCTTTTGGAAATGCCCCTGTTTTTTTTATAAGCATTGTATATTGGATAAGGGATGCTACATTGACACTATGCTAGAATGTCAATAAAGCCTATAATATAACTTTTGTTGTTATTAATGTCTTTATTTCTTGCCATAGCTAATGATGGTTTGACCATTTCTTCGTTTTTGCTATGCCGACTTGTTTTTACAATACTCATGGTACATCACACGTGTCATAGACGATGAAAATGTAATTCCCCTAAACTAGTCTCACAGGGTTACAAATAAAAAGCTATTTAACAACAATAACAGAATGGAACAAAGGATTTCCATGTAATCTCCACATGGAAGCGTTGCTCTGGAGCAAAGCAAAGCTGAGTGAGGTAAAAATGGCAAATTTAGGAAGGCAAATGGTGCATATAGGCAAATTCTGCTAAATTTGATGGCCCCCCTCTCCTGCAAATTAAGTGAAGAAAAATTAGTAGGAGTCGAAAATCTCAACTTTTGTCTACAGTACATTGCTGTTGTGAACTGCAATCAGGGACTAGATGTTTGAGATACAGTGAAAAGCACCTGCATCCTTTAAGTCGCATGGATGGGAGCATTTTGGTTTCCCTATGAAATGGTGTTGGAGAAAGGGTGGTGGGCAAAACATTGACAAAGATGTAGGCATTGTGGCACGAAAAGCATGGCAACCTATTTGAAGCGACATCATCCAGGAGTATCAGTGCCCACGACAGGATCCAAGATGAGTGCTGCTCAAAAACCACTTATCAGAATCAGACTGGGCTAAAGCTATAAGAAACTCTATCCAAGTTTTTATAGCTGCATACATGAAAACATACTCCATTGCCCAAAAGAAGGGCTTTATACATATGCTTAATGTGCTTGAGTCATGGTATGTTATTGCGTCACACACCCACTTAAGTGGAAAAAAAAAAGTGCCTCATCTGTATTAACAGGAAAAAAAAAAAAAATCTTGTTGCTGAACTGTCACATGCACCTTCTGTTGTGCTCATCACAGATCGATGGAACCTCTAGAGCAATGGAAAGCCAAGTATAAAATAACCTGTTTAAAAGGATTTGAAGAAGGTTTAAAGCATTTTATTGCCCTTGAATTTGTTTTTGTATAGTTGGTTTTTTTATATAGTTTATATAGTACATACTTCATTCAGACACCCTTGCTCTGTTCGAAAACCTAGGACGCATCCTTAAAAGACCGGATTCGAAGGCCGATTACGTCATAGCGCGGCGCCGAGGTCTGGTCGGATTCCAAGAGTCCTCGTTATGCGGCCTTAAAATGCGTCCTTCTTTTTGCCCAATTTGAAGGACGGGTCCGATGTATCCTCGGTATTCTTGGATATCCCAGGATTCATTGCGAGACCAAGCAAGCCGTGATCAGAGGAAAGGTTACTTGGCGCCGAACAGTGGTGAAAATTGGAAGTTCAGTTTAATATAATACAACTCTGTGAATAGTTCCGTCTGAAATGAAAATAGTTGTTTTAATGGTTACTGAGTCAGATATGTGGCGGTAATGTTTGGTTTATCTAAAGGTTTTAATCTGTTACTGTGTAAATGGGTTTGGCTGGAATTTAAGGACAGATTCTAATATATTTGCAGGGTGGGGACTATAAATCTGATAGGATTTTTATCTTTTTATTGCTATTTTGCACAATATGCTTAACTTCCTATTTTTTGTTGTTGAATATTAGAGATTTTGCAGATATATTTTTTATACATATATTGTTTAGATTTACTTATATCGTTCTACCCCTTTTATAGAATAGAATAGAAAATCTCTTTATTTTCCCACAATGGGAAAATTTACAGCAGCAGAAAGATTATTGAAAATGGTCACACAAATGTAATAAAGTATAAAATGTATAAGAATAACATAATAGGGAAGAGTTAAAATATAAACAATGAAATACTGTAAAGTGTTTTAACAATATAAAACTGGGGAATAAATAACCAATATGCAGCTATGGAAATTTTTACAGTCATGGATATTTGAAAATAGCAGCAACATCAGAGATGTGCAGAATGACAGCAGCATTTTATTTAACTGACTAAGGTTTATATCACTACATTTGATTTTATTTGTTCCTGCTCCAGATGGTTGGAACATTTATTCCACTCTGGATTCTTGTGAGTGTAGTCTTTGTTCACTTCACAATAAAAAAGAAATAAATAAACAGTTTTGAAAACTTCTGTATTCATTCTTTTCCTGCTTTGTGTGTCAACGTTCACGGTTGCTAAGCAACAGAGCATACGGCGGTAAAACCCGCCAAAGGGTAGACCTGGTCGAATTTACAGCCAAAACTCTTCCGGTCTCCTTATTTTCAAGGACTTCGAAGGATCCAGTCTAGGTAGACCGCGTCCTTGGAGGACCCGTCCTAGGTTTTCGAACAGAGCCCCTTTCTGTTGGGAGCTGGAGAAAATCCCATCTTTCTCCAGCAGAGTCCGCCGTGGATCCTCTGAGGGAGCCTCCTGCACAGGTGCAGCTCATCAAGACCATCAGAGGATCCACTACTTAAGCTGCCTTCAGACCTTGCCTCAACGCCGCAGTGTTGTTCCAGTTGGTCAGCGCTAAAGCCTTGCTCCTTGTGAATCTCCATGACTTTGAATCCAGATTGGATTCTAACTTCTCTCTCTGTGTTCCCAGGAAACCCGAGTCTCCTCTGTGAAACCTCTAGGAGAGCTAACCTGCCGAGCCGACCCTCTGAGCCAAACCCTGAAGACTTTCTGAGAACCCCCAAGCAGCTCAGGACTAGAGCTGGAAAAACCAAACCAAGGTCTGTACGAGCTAGACGTGAGACGCTGAAGCAGCTACGGACTCTGCTGATAAACTCTTCTCCAGAACCAACAGAAACTCCCCCAAGGAGAATAACTCAAGAACCCTCAAGGTACTATCTGAGCTCACTTGAAAACCAAACCCTGCCAGCAGTTCATAACAGCTCTGTCTCTCACGCAGACTCCAGTGAAACTAGGACCCAGGCCCGAACCAGATTCCAGTACATTCTGTGTTTGTGCTTTAATAAACTGTTAAACTTTTATCCTCGTGTCCGCCTCGTGGTGTTCTGCATAACTGGGTCTCCATTTGAGAACCCATCATGACACTTTCTGCATTGATGAATACCAATGTTGAGCATACTACTTAAAACAAGCTGTAATCAGAAGAAACAATCACCCGAATCTCTTATTTCCCGCCCTGCAAAGGCCTGCAACTTATCTCCCCAAATTCTTCACACTGTTCAAGCACATTGCAGCGACTCCTAAGCACTCTCATGTTGAACTTTTGTGCTTTGAGAGTACTGTGAACTTTGCATCTTGCAACAGAAAAATACCTTGGAAGTGAGGTATCAAATGCATTAATACAATGAATTTAATGTGATATTTAAAACAAACAATTTGACTGAGTATATAATAGGTTTTTATGGCTCACTGAAGAAAAAAACGGATCATACAGCAGGTAAAGCGGCACACAATTGCCTACGCTCCTCTAGAAGAGCACGCTACTTAAAGAAAAAATAACACTAAAAATCACTTAATTCATCAGCTAGATGACCAGCAGGGGAAGACCTTGGGTTCTACCTACTGTTCTTGCTGTTGGACTGTGCTTGGCCCAGACTCTCATAGCAAACACCCCCTTCAGCTGCATTTTTCATCTATAAAAATAATGCTTTAGGTATTCAATCTTTTGCTTTGTACTAACATGAGGCAGATAATCTGTGAGGACAAAGATCAGGCTCTTTAGCTACTTTCCTGTTCTGCAGTATGACTCCATGTCACAAAAACACAATCAGAGCCAGGAGGAGGTTATAAGCAATCTAAACCACTCTTTGACACTGCAAAACAGAGTTTGCACATGCACAAATCAATTAGGCATGCTCAATTTGCCAGTTTGAGTTTATAAACCTTTGAATGCAACCTGCATTTTACTTTAAATGTCTCCTTTTTAATTGACATAATTTGATATAGGCAGTGTTGCGATATATATCGGACTTTTTGTGTATTTTCATAACTGTTTTCAATCTGTTAAAAGTAGCATTGCTGGTAGCATGTTTCTGATTTGTTCGTTTGACTGAATACTACTCCATTAGGCCTGCAATTCTTTTTTTTGTTTTGCTTAGGTGATAAAAGCATGATGTTATAAGTCAAGTTTGCCACATCAAAATGCCAGTAGGAGCATTTGTTCCTAAATGAAAGTTATCAGCAGAATAATATAATGGGCAGATATTGCCCCTCATTGATAATGGGTATCAGATCAGCAGTAATCTGCAGCTTCCCCTCTTGCTTTAGTTAACATGACTTCTTCCAGATGTAACTATCATAATAACCAAGTAGTTAGGTAACCACTTACTTAACTTTGCAGTTACTTTTTAAGATGTAAAATCTTTTTTGAAACTTGACATTTATTTTACAGGCCTCTATTGGCTATAAAATAAGGAATGAAAAATAATTTATTATATTTAACAAGGACAAAATATACTTTGTAATGAATTTTAAAATGAGTACCACTATTCTGAGAAAAAAACTAAACAAAAACAGGAAGACTATACTACCAATATTTCCATTTTAAAGATAACCGAATACTCCATCCATCCATCCATCCATCCATCCATCTTCTCCCGCTTATTCTGTTAGCCTTGCGGTGGGTTGCCTATCTCCGGCAGGTAGGCAACACTTCACAATGAGTTATAAACATCAAATTAATATTTCTCTCCCTCTCTCTTAGTTTT